TTAGTTCAGCGAAATTATGATCCACTAAACAGGGTGTTTGGTTGGAGGGATTTTAAATTCCCTTCCCACTTAATTCCCACCTAATTCCAAAGACCATTAAATTCCATAGTTTGGTTGGAGGGAATTGCAATTCCCCCATTTTTATGGAATTAAAATCTCATGTCCCCCCTGGTATTTTAATTCCTGGGAAAAAAAGATAGTGATGAGTCAAAATTACCCCTTCCTTTTTTAACCTAAAATTAATGTCTAACAACAATAATGGACATTTTTGACTTTATACTACTTATTCCCTTTCAATTCCCATGTATACCAAACATTGGAATTGAAATTCCCAGTAATTTTATTCCTGTCAACCAAACACTGGAATTTAAATTCCCACTTTATTCCCAGTAATTCAACTCCCATGAAATTACAATTCCTTTCCCACATAATTCCCTCCCTCCAACCAAACGCCATGTAAGTGTTTAAAAAAACGATATGCAAAGTGCCATTTCTTTAAATAACATTAAGTGAAAGAGCACTTAAATTATATTAAATGTACATGCGATTTTTTTTATAAAAAAAAAGTGTAATATATGATTTTACACTATCTTGACAATCAATTATTGTGCTTTTAAAAATTCTTTGCATTCTTCGATATTTTAATATAATTCATGAATTATGATAACACATTCTCTTCCCTGTATCATGCGGGTGAAACACTAATTAAAACATAAAAGGTATAATGTAACAAATATGTTTATGCAATAATATTTAATTGGTTCTTTATGTATTCAATTAATAAAATAGTTTTCTTTTTTTAACACTTAGTGAGTTGATCAATTTACATGTAGTCAAGCAGGTTTGGTTCATTGGACTACACTGCAACCGGGCTACGTGAAGCTCAACTCGGATGGGGCGAAAAAGGCGTCGACCGGCCTTGCAAGCGCAGTAGGAGTTATTCTCGATCACCTCGGCAATTGGGTGACTGGCTTTACTACAAACATTGGTTTCACAAACAGTTTCATTGCCGAACTCTGGAGGCTCCGAGAAGGGTTACGGCTAGCAAAGAATCACGGTTTTGTCAAGTTAGAGGCGGAAACTGACTCAATAGTCGTTACTCACGTCTTCAACAACGACGTCGGGACCACACCGGAGGCGGATACGCTTGTCGCCGACTGCAAGCCGCTCATGCGATCCTTCCAAATTATCAAGCTCAACCACGTGTTTCGGGAAGGAAACAAATGTCAAATGTGTTGATTTCCTTGCCAACATGGGACAAGTCTCTCCGTGGGGTATGCCTATTCTTATTCATCCTCTGGAAGAGTTAAAAGTTAAAAGTGCTACTGAGTCGCGATGCCAACAATGTAGCTATTAGAAGGTTTTATTTAATCCCCGGGGCCTTGGCCCCTTCCCTCTACCAAAAATTTAAAAAATAAATAAAATTACATGTAATCAATAAATACTAAAATTTTTATTTTTACGTTAAGAGGTAAACATTAAAAAGATTTAAGATAAAATCATGAGACAAACGTGGCATTTTTCTTTTGTTATATGATTGATGTGTTAAAGAAAATATTTAGATTGAACTGTACTATATGTTTATAATTAGTTAAAAGAAATCAAAGAATAAAAGTTTAAACACGTCAAATTGGACTAAATATAAATTTGAAATTCAAACCTTTTTGGTCTTTAATATGCTTTTTATTGTTTTGAATTTATGCTTAGCCTATCCTGGGTACTGCCAAAGTGGCAAGTGTATGAACGATTCAAAACACTTAATTCAATTACCGACTATGCTCACCTTTTCTAATATAATACTTTATTGATAATTTGATTTATTTTACCTTTAAATTTAGTAGTTATAAGTTTGTACTTGAATTCATCAGCACTCGCTTAGACCATCTCCAACCATTGCACCAAATTCTGCACCAAATTTTACACCAAAAAGGAATATTCCCAGCATATTCTTACACCAAATTTTTTTCATCTCCAACCCATTACACCAAATTCTGCACCAAATTTTATTCCTACACCCCTCATAAAGTTTATATTTATACTTTTATTCTTTTAATAAAACTAATAGTTGTAATTTAATAAATTAGACTTTAATTATATTATATATTTTATTTGTAATTAAATTATATTTAATATTAATTTTATTTTAATCGTCTTCTTGATAAGATCTTTGAAATGATATAATTTTATTTTAATAATATACAATTTATCTTTAATTTTATATTTATATGATACAATATAATTATAATGCAAAAGCACTAATGGAACAAGATGCCAAATTTAAAAATGGTTTTAAATTTGATCATGTATGGCCTATTGTTAAAGACTTGGAGAAATTTCAAAGTCCTTCGGGTAGAGAACCAAGTGTTGCAAGTCGAAAGCGAAGTTCTGACATTGAAGGTGCAGAGTCACAAGGCGATAAGTTCAATATTAGACTTATTTTAATCGTCTTGATGAGATCTTTCAAATGATATAATTCATTTTAAATAATATAAAATTTATAGTTAACAATTTAACAAAATATACAAATATATTAAAACAAAAAACAAAACACAAATGGAATTAAACAAACAAGAGGGGCTAAAATGAAAAAAAAAAAATTATAGCGCTTTGGCGCACTGTGAACAGTGCGCCAAAAATTTGGTGAAATGGCGCTGGGTTGGAGCATTTTTTTTGGTGTTTTGGCGCAATGGCGCTGCCTTTGGAGATGGTCTTATAGAGACTAGTGGATGAGGAAAATCGTGAGATGTGTATGAATTATCCTATATGCTTTAATTGTACATTAGCACTCACAATAAAGTAAAATATATACCTTTGATTGAGAATAACCCTCGGGCGTATGACTGTATATTCGCTTAATTGGTACATATTCTGTAGGCAAATTGTGAACATTTAATATGTAAATTGTGTGTTTTGGATCCCGGATCATAGTATAATTGTTGTATTTTGTATACCCCGAAAGACACTTCTCGATCTTAATCGACCCTATACGGGTCTGACCTGATCCTAGTTGAGGCAGGGTTTCGTCCCTTTTAAGATTACTAGTGATTGTGTAGCGTATTTTAAACTCGGTCCCGACCTTAATACTCAAACCAGATATCTCTTGTAGAATGCCCCTACGTTAGGAGACAAATACCTCTAATTAACTTATAACTTCTCCTAAATTTTTACATCTTTCATTTACCTAATAATGATTATTTAAACTTGTCAATATAAATATTTCAAACAACCGTTAATACTAAGGTATTTCTTAAAAACTGAAATATGATATAAAAATATTACAATTAACGCTATTTCTTTACTAATAATTTTGATCAAGAAGATAAGTATATACATATTTACCTTCAATATTATTTATTTAATCATAATATAATATTTATAATAAATTAACTTAATTATAATAAGTTACTTATAAATATAGCTTAGCATGAGATTACACTAGTAAATTATTTTCCAATACAACATAATTAAGTAGTGCGGAATAATTTAAATCATTTTCCGTTTGAATAAAGTATGGTTAGGCTATAGTGACAGTTAGGCCTAGTCAAATAATCCACCCTATACAATAAACAGACAATGGCTTGACGGAGTCTCAAATAATCTAGAATCGCAATATTCATGTCAATTTCACATTAACCTATCAATTGTTAGATTTATTATTTGAATGTTAAAACAATTAATTTTTGTCAGTTTATTTTATTTCAAATGTTTATATAATTTAAAGTTGACTTTTGTTGTGTTTTAATAGAACTTTTAACTTCTAATAAAAATATAAAATTTATTTTCTATTCAAAATTACTCACATTTAAAGTTAATTATAAAAATAAATCGAGGCATTCAAAAATAAAAATAAATCGAGAAATTCTTGTTACAATAATAACTGAATTTTATTGTCACGTTAAGAAATAATATTATGAGATAAATTAATAATAAAAAGAAAAGTATTATGATATTAAAATCATAAAATCTGATCAGAATTTTGTCTCTTAATTGGGCGAGTCCGGTAATTAGTCTGAGCATGGTATGAATTTAAAGGTGTCTCCTACAATTACAGTATGCTCAGGCAGCAATTATACTGTGGACTGCATCCAAAATGGCGGACACTATAGTGTATCCAAACTGTCATTGTTTCACGTATTTTTTTATATATATTATCAAATGAAACTGCAGTGTATACAAAATGAAACTGAATAATAATTTCACATATTTGAGTATATATAGTCCAGCAAAACTGTAGTTATATCAAAATGATGTTGTAGCTGTGTCAAAATGAAACTGCAGTGCATATTTGATACATGGACCATAATGCATTGTGGACCGCGATCCACAATATAATTTGTCATGCTCAGGACACCTCATAGTCTGATAAAAAATCATAAAAATTGGACATGTGGATAATCCTGATTCAGGTCTCAATCATGGTTTCCTGTCTGAATTTTCATCTCTTTATTACAAAGTCTTAATGAAACCTTTACCGAGCAAACAAATCCCACGGCATAATTTCTTCAATTAACAAATACCCTTTTTTTGACCTTGACCACTCTTTCTTCTTCAACTTTCATCATCCTTTATCCTTATTTTGCCGTCTAACAACTCCCCCTACTGTTTTTAATTTCATCCTTTCATTACAAGTCATACATATATCATTACATTTTTGACCGATCTGTTTACACATGATCTTTTTAAGGCAGTTCAGTTTTCTCACAATTTAAGAGTTGTTACACAATATTAAGTGTACTTAATAAACACCCCCATATAGTAATTGTATTTTTTTTTTTCTTTAAATTCGAGTAAATGTAAGCTCAAGTTTACCCATTACACAAGGTTACAAGTTAACTCTCAACAAGGAACAATATATTGACCTTCTTGATTTGAGTGAACCAGCTATGAACAATCTAAATTGGTTTACAATCCTTTACCGGCTAAAATTGCAATACACCAAATTTTTTCAAAAAATATATTATTCAAGTAAGGGGTGTCATGAGATGGAGAGAGAGAGAAGAAGAAACAGTAAGGAGCAGAATGATGGGGAAGTTGAAACGTAGTACAAAGGCAATACAAAAGCACAAAAGCCGAGACCAGCCAAAAGGAACAAAGCCCCAACCTCATAGCAACACATCACAACACAATTGTACTCTTAAAGACAGCAAAACAGAAAGATCATAGTACTGATATATATTTATACATATACAATACTATCATATATACATACATCTCTTTTGTGCTGCATGCTCTTGAAAGGGGCTACACAGACACAATCAAAATCCAGAAAAAAAAAAGAAAAAGAATTCCTTAAAAAAGTGTCATTCCTTTGGATCCACAGCCAGAAGTGGTACCACCGGTTGTTCGCTCCACAGAAACAGCTATAATTCCCCCTTTTTCCCTTCCCCATTCCTCACAAAACTTCAAGAATCAAACCCACTGTTTTGGTTAATGTTACCGACAGTATAGACACACAAACATCTAACCTTAAAAATTATCTTGAAATTCACCGGAAAGAATGGGTGCCCGTTGCTCAAAATTCTCTTTTTGTTGGTGGCACTCTCACCTCAAGCCTTCCCTTCTAGACTCCTCTGATCTTGGTACATGCATATATGTGTATATATCTTCGTTTTTAATGTGTATTCGCGTGAATGAGCTGATTGAGATTAATTGTGTTGCAGAGAATGGGGAGAAAAACGCGTTTCCGCCCTTTACTCAGTTCAAATTAGAGGAGCTTAAAGCTGCCACTAATGGGTTTTCTTCAGAGACCATTGTGTCCGAGCACGGAGAGAAAGCGCCGAACGTGGTTTACAAAGGGAAGCTCAACGATGGCCGATGGGTCGCCGTTAAACGCTTCAATAAATCTGCTTGGCCTGATTCTCGTCAATTCATGGTTAGCATAATACACACAAAATGTTTTGCTGTTCAGGCTTTCAGGCAATCATAAAAATGTTATCTTTTTCAGTTTTTTAATTTTATAGGGAGTTGGGAGGTTTTTTTTGTTAGTGATGTTTGTGGACATTTTAATGGCTAGGATGAGGCTAAGGCAGTGGGCAGTCTAAGGAGTGAGAGGTTGGCAAATCTGATAGGGTGTTGCTATGAAGAGGAAGAGAGATTGCTGGTGGCAGAGTTTATGCCCAATGAGACTCTTGCAAAACATTTATTTCACTGTGAGTTTTTCTCTTTTGTTTAGTTGTAATGAAGAATTATATGAATTGTCTTGTGAATCCTTCATCCTTGTTAGATACAAGTTGTTCTATGTGATCTGATATAAGTGTTGCATCATATGGCATAGGGGAGAACCAGCCAATGAAATGGGCTATGAGGTTGCGGGTGGCGCTTTACTTGGCTCAAGCTTTGGACTACTGCAGTAGTAAGGGTAGGGCGTTGTATCACGACCTCAACGCTTACCGAGTCTTGTTTGATCAGGTAAAATCGGTTGCGCCTTAATTCGAAATTGTTGGTAGTTTGCAGCTCTCATCTTGGTTAGTTTTCTACAGGACGGTAATCCTAGGTTGTCTTGCTTTGGTTTGATGAAGAACAGTCGAGATGGAAAAAGTTATAGTACAAACTTGGCTTTCACTCCTCCAGAGTATTTGAGAACAGGTAGCGATTATCTCTCAATCATTAAGCATGTTTCGGTTTACTTTTCCATATTAGGCGTTCTTGAAACTTGAATCTATGATTTGCAGGAAGAGTGACACCCGAAAGTGTAGTTTATAGCTTCGGGACTGTGTTGCTGGATCTTCTGAGTGGAAAGCATATTCCTCCAAGCCATGTAAACTTTTAACTTGGAACATATTAAATGAAGATTCACACATTGCTTCGATTGTTTGAGAAACCATAGTCTGAGGTTTATTGTTTCTCTTTACCCGGTTTAGGCACTCGATTTAATTCGTGGCAAGAATTTCCTGATGCTCATGGATTCTTGTTTGGAGGGTCATTTTTCTAACGATGATGGAACCGAGCTGGTCCGGTTGGCCACGCGTTGTTTGCAATACGAAGCACGGGAGAGGCCAAATGCAAAATCTCTTGTCAGTTCCCTTTTGCCTCTCCAAAAAGAAACCGAGGTATGAACATGCTAGGTGGATTATATCCTCAAATTAGTGTTTGGTCCTATCCTGCATAAAAATCTATCCTTATCAACATTTTTGCAGTTCTAATTATAATGTTAGCTCCTTGGTAATGCTATATTTGGGATTCATGTACTACCAGGTGCCATCGTTTACTTTATTGGGCATTCCCGATGGAACTGCCACCCCGACAGAACCATTGTTGTTGACGCCAATGGGAGAAGCATGTCTGAGAATGGATCTGACTGCACTTCATGAAATGCTGGAAAAGACCGGGTACAAGGACGACGAAGGAATTGCCAATGAGGTTTGTCCCTTTCTTGCTCACATAATGCTAGGAGAGAAAAACATTAAATGCAATCGATTCATCTACATAAACTGCATTTGGTTGTAACGCTCAAATGTTGTCGATGAATGTGGTACAGTTATCTTTCCAAATGTGGACGAATCAGATGCAGGATACCTTGAATTCTAAGAAGCAAGGCGATACTGCTTTCCGTGCCAAGGATTTCACTGCCGCCATTGATTGTTTTTCACAGGTATGTTCATTTAATAGCCATTCTCTATGCATAGGAAGCTGCCTGAGGGGCTTGAATTACTTGCCCACATTAGGCAAAATCCCTCGCCCGGGGCCTCCACACTCCGGGTCGACAGGATTTGTAAATCACTATGACTGAACGACCCATTAGATGGGAGGACCAGTGCCTGGTACCCACCACACTGGGTGTGACTCTAGGGCTCGATCCTGCGTCCTTACCCACAATCTGCCACCTAGGAACCAAATGAACTAACATGTTTTCTTTCTGTAGTTCATCGAGGGGGGGACGATGGTGTCGCCCACGGTCTACGCTAGGCGGTGCTTGTCCTATCTGATGATGGACATGGCGCAAGAAGCTGTAGGGGACACGGAGAAAGCGCAGTTGGTGTCGCCTGACTGGCACACGGCCTTCTATCTTCAGGCGGTTGCATTCTTCAGTCTGGGGATGGAGAATGATGCCCAGGAAGCTCTCAAGGAAGCCACTCGTTTGGAGGCTGAAAGGAACACAGTTTGAAAGTGTATAGATATGTGCTTTTTCTTGAGTTTTATCATCTTTGTGATTTTATTGTATTTATTGGTGTATCCTCTTTTGCAACATCCAAGGATTTTCACAACATTTTGATGTTGATGTCAATATTTAGCAAGTATTTTATACAAGTCATGTTGCTTTCCCTCAATTTAGTAATGTTATTTTGTACATTTATCTAGTATTTTGTACATTTATCTAGTATTCTATCACTATGTAACTAATCTGGATTTACCTTGAATTTCGCCCTCAAAGTTTGACTCTTACTTTGAAAGAAACTCACAACCACAATGAGATATATTAACTTAAGTTGTAACTGATCGGTTCAAACCAAGTAAATGAAATCGTCTTTCTAATATAAATTAAACAAATAAAGTTGCATTAAATTTACTTGATAAAAATAATAATAATAATAATTCAAATGACATTATAATAAACAGTTTTCCATTAATGACAATATAATAATAATAAAAAAAAAAATCAAAGTGACCAGTCAAAAGCACTAAACCTTGTTAAGGACCTTATAGTTAAGTGACATAGTCGTGAATTTACAACATGGCAAGCCAGATACACTCAGCAGTGATGGGATAAATCTAAATTCTTAAATGAGGGGCAAAAGAACATTGCAAGACAATATTAACACTATATCTTCCCATGTTTATATGTTAGTTGCAAGACATTCTTATCCTAATCTATATAGGAAAAAACAAATCTTTTAAGGTTTCACAGGCTTTTACTGCATTTCTGCCTACCTAAGATGGAATGTTAAAGTGGAAGAGCCAGGAGATGACAAAGGCAAATACCATACAGGCCAAGAGGAAATTCAGGAACCAGTGTCCATTTAGGCAATTCCGAGTCTCAGGAGCCGAGGATGTTGCTACTGCTGACACACCATTCGTTGCCAAATCGTTAGTCTCAATTCTTGGCTGCAATGGCTCTACATCGTTTGGACCAACCAGATTGCGTACTATTGAATTGCAAATCTCACACACCCTGAAAGCAATAACGATATCAGAAAACATAAAGTTAATGTTACTTGAGCCAATGGACAACCTGAAATCCAGTCATATGATGACAAACTATCTAGAAAAACATTATTCTAAGTTAGTTATCATTCTTGTTCTGCTATCACACAGCAAAGTTGAAAATAGATTGTAACCCTGTGAAAGTTTTGGGTCGTAAATTTCAGATCATGCCAAAACCTCACGCATAAAGGAGATTCTAAAATCCCGAACTTTTTTTTTATATTCCTTGAATAACAAAGTTAAAAACTGCTCGTATCTAGCATGTTAAAGTTCCATCTTGCGTGTCTTGTGGACAAAAGAGCAAAACTAACTTGATCCTTGTCCAACATCAATCTTTACGGGTACATATTTCCATTCCGAGAACCTAACAATCAGCACTACCAAACAGACGTGAAGTGATATCACAGCTCATTGCAGAATATAAGAAAAATTTCAGCTTTAAGTGAAACTAAAATCCAGCTAATTAATAGTGGGAAAGGTCATGTTTGGCATAACAAGCGTGCTAAGAAAAGATCTAGAAAATAAGAAATAAAATATACAAAGTGGAGCGAATAATAGTCCTCTGTCTGGCCAAAGAAAAGAACTTAACTCACAAGGGTCAAACCTCCACTTTTTGAGTTTTTGACAAACAAAAGTGCAACAAAAACAAATGAACTGATGGTGAAAGAACCAATAGGTGTGATAACTGATTAGATATCTTCATGATATTTCCAGATTCTTTACATGTTTGCTTTTAATTTTATTCCCTCATCTTCTTATCTATCTGTTCCTTTGTCTAATTAAATATATCAAGTTATCTTCTTTTCCTGAACTTCCCCCCTCCCCCACCCAACTGGACCCCATGCAAGAATGGAGCAATCTTCTGTGTTACGTTTACTGAACACATTATTCTCAAAGATCAGAGAGCAATAGAGAAACCAAAAAAAAATACTAAAAAGCAAGAATCAATGGAGTTTAGCATTACTTTACAACCAAGTAAACACTAATGCCTAGTACAGTAAAACAGAACCCATATGCAGAGCTGTCTGTCAAACCAACAAGCAATTGCAAAAGGAATAAAGCAATCAAACGCAATTCTAAAGATACTATAGTAGTAGGGGCAACCCCGGTCAAGTTGGTTAGGCTTCTGACTTGGTAACCATAAGGTTACAAGTTCAACTCGATCCCAACTAGAGGAACTGATTGGCCTTCTTAGTTTAAGCCGGTCAAATATGGACAATCTAAGTTAGTTTAGCTCATTGTTATTCTTTGCCGGCTAGGGTCATAAGGCGAGGTTTACCAAGATTACACTCTCGGAAAGTGACTGCGAGTTTCCCTCGTCACCAAAAGATACTACACTAGCAAAATTCTACATATCACCAAATAGGCATCTAGAATTAATCAATGAAAAAGAGGATGCAAATTCTCATGAAATGAAGTTAGAGGAAATGAAATTACTCACTTATTTCCTTTGATTTTGAACCAAGTCTCAGCACAATGCTTATGAGCAGCTGCCAAATCATCTTTACAAGAACACCCCAATTCAATGGCGACCCCAGACTGAGGGCCAGGGCTCTGCAAACTCAAGTGGCAAATCCTACAATCTCTATCTAATTTCCCCAAATGCGGCTTGGTTTCACCAACCCCACTCTCCAAATCCACCGAGCAATCAGACGAGGCTCTCCGGGACTCCAACGCCTCCTCTATCTCAAGCTCAGACCCATCAGCCGTGGAATATAACTGGGAATGGCAAGACCCCTCGTCGGCATCGGAGAAATAAACGCTCCCCTCTTCCTCCCCATCACTGGTGTCGCCGCCACCGTGGCCACCGCATTCTAAATCCACCGCATGGGCCATCTCCACTCGCGCCATTGCAAGGACCCAGAGTTAAAAGATAGCACCAAAACCTTAAAGCTTTAGTCTTTGAAGGCTTCTCAAGAGTCCATAACCACCAAAGCCTTCGATCTCAATGGAATTGTAATTTAAAACCAAAAATATCGAACACTAATTAAGTAGGTAGACTATTAGGTGATCCATCAACTTCCCATTTCTTATAAATAGGCAGATATTTAGAGGAAAAAGCACTTACAGTGCTGGGAAGAGTGGAGCGGCACGGATTGCGTTGGTGAGGGGGAAGATGACACTCATGACAGACGCACTGCCACTGTGGGAGTTTGCCTATGTGCCTCTATAATGGGTAAAGGCATCACACAATTCCTCCATATTACATAATTACGTAAACTTATTTCATAACATAGGCGTTCATGGGAAATATATATATATATATATAATCGCATTCAGGTGCGAATGATTTGCCCAGGAGCGAAATAGGAATGGATTCTGTCTGTCCAGATGTAATGGATGAGAAATACTGATTTTTTAAAAAAGTGCGGTGGCATTTTTGTAAATAATTGAACATTGAAGTGCAAGTAAAATGTATTACAAGTGCATGTAAAATGTATTATAGGTGCAAATAAAAATTTACACTGAGCATCAATACTAAGTGCACCTATAGTTATAAGTAGTTGCACCTATAGTTCTAAATAGTTGTACAGATAGTTATAAGTAGTTGCACCTAGGTACATGAATGTTTGCGGGTGATTTTCAGGGGTATTACTACCCGTTGAACTCAAATCAATGAATGTTACCAAGGCAAAATTACATGCACTTATAGGTGAAAATAGGTGCACCTATAGTTATAAGTAGTTGCACCTATAGTTATAAATAGTTGCACCTATAATTATAAGCACACCCAGGTGCATGAATGTTTGCGAGAAGTGAATGCTAACAAGGCAAAATTTCATGCACTTATAGGTGAAAGTAGGTGCACTTGTAAGTGATTTTACTTGCACTTCGATGTTCAATTATTTACGAAAATGCCACCGCGTTATTTTTAAGCTATTAGATCTGGACACGTGTCGCGCGCCGATTCGTTCGCATATTCCTTCCTGGGCACTTAAAACCTAATAAGTATGAATACAGGTTATGTCCTTGGGTTTATGTCCGTTTTTCCCATGCTGAGTTGTTTGTACCTTATGTTCTTAATATTGTACATTTTTTTTATGACAAAATTGCCCAAGAATATTCAGTTACTGTTAAATGCCAAGCATATTCTGTTAACAATTGCATAAACGCGTTTATTGTTTATTATTATTAAGGTTAATTGGAAATTGCATAAACACGTAAATTGAGTCCACGTTTCCTCCTTCAGGCTTCATTTTCCTTGAGTAAAATCAGAGACTGAGACATACGTTTCTCATTCGTCTTCCTTGATTACGCAAGACGTTTCCTCCTTCATCGCAAGACTGAGTCTCAATATGCTATTGCAGATATTGGGTTGAAGGGTTGAAGAAATTAGAGGGATTCAATGGGTTTTGTAATGTTTTCATCAAAGGTAAATTTATGTTTGCTAATTTTATTCAACATTTTTTCCGGCTATTCACCCAGTATACCATTTTTACTCCATCTAACCTCTGCTATTTAAAGTCTCCATTACAGTGACACCAACACAGAAAAATTGCGCCATTTTATTTATTTTCAACCAAAAATTTAGTGTGTTTTTATGTTATTCAAGTTTCTGTAGTTACTAGCTCTGTGTATGTAGTATTGTAATTATTATTTTTGTTTTCAACCAAAAGGCTTCATCGTCTATGTATGCTAAGGTTTGCTTTAGAGATACCCAATTACCCATTGCCTATGATCATTCTGCTTCACTATATTCCAAAGCTTGAAATATAAGGAGTATAAGAATTTTGAATATGGTTGATGATAAGCCATGAATTTGTTTAGCTTATCTGTTCTTGTTTTCGATGTAAGAGTTTCGAAATATGAAGAGTATAAGAGCTAAGAAGCCTCTTCAAAGGAGAATCCATTCAAAATTCTTGTTGTTATGTTAAATTGTAATAAGTATATAATTCTTATGTTAAACCCATGAATTTGTTTAGCTTATCTGTTCTTGTTTGCAAAACCTTCTTTGGTTTGAATTTGTTAGTATTTTAAAAAATGAACTTGTATAAAAATTGCTTGGACTAAGGCACTTGAGGCATTCAACTTGGCATGCTGGGATTGACATTTTAGTTGTATTATGATTCTGATTTCTGCTTTACCTCTATGATTCTACCGGTCTATAATGGTAAAGTTTGACAGCTGTGGAATACGGTTGATGTTAAGCCATGAATGTATTTAGCATATCTGTTCTTGTTTTCGATGTAAGAGTTTTGAAATATATTGAAATATAAGGAGTATAAGAGCTAAGAAACCTCTTAAAAGGAGAAACCATTCAAAATTCTTGTTGATATGTTAAATTGTATGTGACTTGGGTATGTGAGATACTTCACCATAGAATACAATAATACATTATTAGTATCATATGATTACTTTGATTTTTAAGTGAAATAAAAGGCTGACAGATCACAAAACTTGTTAGCCTTTGCATTGGTTGCTGCAATTAGGCATACAATGGCTTCCAACTGAAATTGTGATTCCTCCCCCTCTATCTTGAGTAGGAAGTAGTTCTTCATATTTAAGAGGTAGTAGATGCAATGATGTCCTTTCCTGCATAGGTTGTCAATGATATATTAAATAGAAAAATACTTCTCTTGCATAAATACTTTACACAAATGGAAATAAAGATATACCTTTTCCTGTAGAAGGTGCATATGAAAGTAATATGATGCTACATATAAATCTAGACTAGAAAAAAAATTTAACAGGCAATGTAGACATTGCCCATTATGCCTTCCTGGTTTTTCTTACACATACATCAATCTTTTTCTTGTGTAATTTCTATCTGAAATCTTTTCTCTGGTGTCATTCAACAGGAGATGTACAACAAAGGTTATGTACTGCAGCAGAAATAAGATTCTACTTTAGTAACATGTTCATGAATTCAATGAGTTACCTAAATCCTAATAGGAACTGTAATCTTACTTCTTGGATATCTGGTTGTGAGCCAGGGTGGGCTTGTAGCACTGGTTCAAATAAGAATCCTGACCTCAGAAATTTGAAAGATATACCTGCCAGAACCACTGACTGTCAGCCTTGTTGCGAGGGATTTTTCTGTCCCCATGGCATTACTTGTATGATACGTAAGTATACCAGAAGCCGATGTTTATGTCCTTGAGTGATTTTCCTTTGTGTCAACAAACCCACATTGTCTTTATTCCTGAATGTTCAATATGTTTCCAACTCGAAGTGTAGCATAACTTCATTTAAATTTTATTTTGTTCTTCATGTAGGTAGTTACAAATTCATTCCATTTCAATAACCTATCTCATATCTAGGTATCAAACAAGCAACCACATAATGCATCAAGTTGTTGTCCTCTAGCTAATGGCAAAAGCGCAGGAACCTCCAAGGTACTAAAACTTATTGGAAAACATGATTAAATAGTTTTAGAAAGAGTAAATATCCAAAATGTCCCTCAACTATAGCTAAATTCACAAATTGATCTTCGAGTTTTACTTTTAACCAATTAAGTCTTTAACTTTACAATTTTAACACGATTTGGTCCTTCAAACACTTCTGCATTAACGCACGCGCCCGCGCCGTCATCGATGATTTCCAGAAGAACCTGCAGCTCTCATCGGAGCACATGGAGGCCTCCAGGATGACGTTGCACCAGTTCGGAAACACGTTGTCTTCTTCACTCTGGTACGAACTCAACTACATTGAATCCAAAGGGAGGATGAAGAAAGGCGGCAGGATTTGGCATATTGCTTTCGGTGGTGGATCCAAATGTAACAGTGCGGTCTGAAAATACAACTAGAATCTTAAAAAATCGACGATGGACCATGAAATTACATATATATCCTCAAAAATCACAGTAAACAAACGGTCAAATAGAAGGAGGACCAAATCGTGTTAAAATTGCAAAGTTAAGGACTTAATTGGTTAAAATTAAAAGTCAAGGACCAATTGGTGAATTTAGCTATAGTCGAGGGATCATTTTGGGTATTTACTCTTTTAAAATTTTGAAGATGGAAAATCATATTTTATAAAGTTAGAATATCACTAAAAACTGAAATATGGACACCTTATTAAGTTGATATAAACAACAGTAAACAACCACAAGCTCCAGTTACACAATACATTTTAAGGTAATTTATTTTTTTGGCCTAAACGAAAGAACATAAAACCTTTGCTCCCTTAAATAAAATATTTTTTTTAACATTCATGTTATCTATTTCTAACTATTTAATTGTTTAAACTTTTTTCCTTTACATTCTTCTCTTTGTAAAATATTTATTCCTAATGCACTATACATAATCGCCTCATGTGTATATATATATATATATATATATATTCTTGCAAGCAATGCGATATTTACAATAAAGTATTTATACTTAAGGAACCTAAAATATACAAATATTTTAATTTAAAAAAGCTACCTTTAAACTTGACAAAGACGGGTACTCCAATTTTGAAATGCAATTTTTATAGTACATATGTTATTAAATGTTTGCTAATGTTAAATTAACACATGACTTTACTCAGGTTAGGATACAAGATGTGATGACTCACAGATTATTGGGATACATAAGTGTCTTTTATTTCCCCTACGACAATATGAATTTAAAAGGGATAAAACTGTAATGGGAAGAAAAAGACATTTAAACAAATTTTAATTATTTATTTACAAATTTCTTTACATCAGTGTGCTTTCTTCATAAAATACACACACTAATAGTCACAACACTTGCCACTTTAATTTTAAAAACTTATATGGCCAGTAAGTAACATACTTTTATATGAGATTGGAAACAACGGAAAATATATGCTACTTAAATAACACACGTAGAAAAAACTTATAAAATAACGCTCAATACACAAACTTAAAATTGCAAATGTATATATTTATCCTAATGAATTTGTATTCATTATGAAAAAAAAAAAAAAACAAAACAAAACAAAAAACAACACAAAAATTTACGTGAAAATTTATGAAATTTCAAAAAAAAAAAAAAAAAAAAAACACAAATCCAAATCATCCATTTCAAAATAAATTACTAATAGAGTTAAAACATTAGACACAAGTTTTCGCGCAAAGCGTGTGCAAAAAACTAGTATATATATATATATATATATATATATATATATATATATATATATATATATATATATTTATACTTATTCCTTCTACATTTTCATCATCATGCATTAGCAATTCATCCAATACATTTTTGTAAATGATAACAAACTAAATGTAGCTTTGTACATCTAGCTTTCAGTTTTGAATATGATGATTTTCAATGAACTAAAATAGGTAGTTTCATTTCATTATGACTCAAAATGAATTAGAGCAGGACTTTGAGACAAATACTGCAACCAAACTCTTACAATGAGAATTCTTGTACTGTTTGATTCATTAAGTTCATAATTATGCATATATATATATATAGTACGTAAGACATCTAATGGAAAATTATTGAACGTTGGGAAAAATGGAAAAGAAGGGAACAGAAGGAAAGTGCATAACGATGACCATAAAGGATATTGTTCTGCTGAGAATGATACTAAGTATATCAGACAGCTAATAATTAAGGTATACTCAATAACATTACCAATCTTAGGCATCCCCGGCTTTATTTAGTGATATCTCAGTAACTTTTATGCAGTATACCTAATAAACTTTTATGATTCATGATTGTCCAAAACACCTAATGCCTAAGATTTTTAACAGCCCAAAGAGAAGGTAATATGTTTTAATAACGCTCTTGTTAACTTGCAAGGTCTGCTGTATGTTCTGTTGTTCGTATGAACTGGATGAAGAATGACTGAAATTTTGAAAGTTGTATAATGAATTAATCTTCTAAAGTTACACTATAATGCTCTTCTGCATTGCAAAAATGAATTAATTTACAACTAACTTAGGAAAGGGCATTTTGAATTGTTATCTACACAGCTGACCATGAAGACTGCATCACATGGCAATGTAATAGGACCATCACTTGGCAGGCCAAATTCTTCTTCAGACATCACTAGAAGTTGTCTGATGATTTCATTGTCAAGAAAAACAAGGGGAACAAGAAACCGCTTTCGATCAGCCGAGTAGATTGCAAAGTGACCTTTGCTAATCGCAGATGACGCACTGCAACTTTCTGCATCATTGTTGTTACCAGGAAACGAAATCCTCTTCCTTCTAATGGCAACAAATTTCTGCCATCTTTTAGCCAACTTGATGAGCTTCTTGGAACTTATCATGGTGTTTATCTTTGCAGATAGATGTGGAAGAGAGAAAAGAGTGAATAAGGTATTCTAGAGAGTTTAAAGATAGGGATGAATTGCTAGTGGTTGATGATAGAACTAAAATGCATAAAGAATTGATTTATTTATATTCATTTCAATCTGGAAAGAATGGAAAGCAGAAGAAGCATGTGGAAGTAAGTGAGATGGGTCCTTTGTGTTGTGGAATTGATTTATTTATATTCATTGTATGGTTGTGGAAGCTTACAAAGGACAATATGATTCTTCCATTGTGCTATCTAGATTTACAACATGAAGGGACATCTTATATTTTTCTGAGGCTTTTAAGGCACTAATAGGGCCCTTTAAGTTATTTTTCCAGACAGCAGAATTAGCCATATCCCCAATTCAAACCTCCCATATCTAATGCTAGTACAAGTTGCGTATTCCCTCGTCCTCTGGTTGACCCGTAGTACAGGTCGCTGCATGTTCTGTGGTTTGTATAACTAGACAGCTTATTCTCATTTAGGAAATTCATAGAAATGCATAAGTCTAAATGCCTAATAGCCACAGTTCTTGTGTTCGGCGAACCACAGACAAGTCCCTTGAAATATCACTTTAGATTTATAAGTAGAATTCAGAACAGTTCCCTTCACTAAGGTCCCATGTGAGTCAGTGGCACATGGTTGTGCCTTACCAGATTTTGAGCAAACTTAAAGTCTCTGTCCAGCCTCGACTACTCGATATAAATATATATCTCTTCCTTATACATTTTCATCACCAAGCCATTAGCAAATCATCCAATACATTAAGTTCTCTCTTCAAAATCTCAATCTCTAAAAGAATGATCAGTCCCAGGAAGCTCATCAAGTTGGCCAAGAAATGGCAGAAATTTGCTGCCATCAAGAGGAAGAGGATTTCCTTTCCAAAGCAAAACGAGGGCACAAACGGTTGTAGTACATCGTCTGTGGTTAGCAAGGGGCATTTTGTTATCTACACAGCTGACCAAAAACGGTTTGTGGTTCCCCTAGCTTTTCTTGACAACGAAATCATCAAGCAACTATTAGTGATGTCTGAAGAAGAATTTGGGCTTCCAATTGAGGGACCTATTACATTGCCGTGTGATGCAATCTTCTTGGAATACATCATATATCTTCTCTCCCACGGTGCAAGAGATGAGCTTCAGAATGCTTTGCTTCTTTCAGTTACTTCGAGTCGTTGCTCCTCAATTTTATATCAAGAAGGGAGGAACCAGCAATTGGCTGTTTTCTGACTTGATTGTCAGCATTTTTTTTTATTTTTGTAAATGATAACAAACTAAATGTAGCTTAGTACATGTTGATTCCAATATAATTGTTGAGGCACTAAAAGAAGTTGTTTCATTACTCAATATGCTTTAGAGCTAGACTTTGTGACTATACTGCAACAGAACTCTTACAATGAAAATTCTTGTCATGTTCATTACAAATCCATTAATTAACAATGAAAATACTTATGAGATTGGGGGTCCTCTGCAAATGATATTTAGTACATCAGACAGCCAATCTTAGCCTTTGTGCTATACAAGTCATTGTATGGTTGTGGAAGCACAGAAGGGAAATCTTTGATTTTTCTGAGGAGGCTTTGGAGTCCCTTCAGTTTTGATGAGATTTTATGGCATATATGTGAAGGCATGCATTTATTTAAGTATTTCCACAGCAATCTGCATACAATTAAGAAGCTTTTTCCAAGTCGATCTTAAGTAGATAATGTCAAACTGAAAAACAAAAACCACATTTACATGTCTACCCTCCAACTAAGTACAAAACAATGCTCCCTAAAGACGACGATAGGGAAGGATAATATTGGGAAACATCTACTAGTAATGATGGAGTCACCATTGATTGACAGAGTTGGGTTTACTAGCATATTAGCTAGGGATACAAGAGAGCTGAGCGTTCAATATATTCTGATTAGAAATAATGGATGCTGCATGCATATTAGCTAGGAGAATTCCATTAACTAGTTAATCAATTTTAAGTTAGTAAAAAAGGGAGCTTAAGGAGAGGAAAAAATAAAATTCAAAATACAATACCAGTTTCAAAGATTAATGATTTGGAAAGTTAAACAGAACAGAGGAAACAAATTAAAGGGACAAAAAACCCATCATAGTTGATACATGTATGTGAATGCATTGATTTTAGTATTTCCAAACCAATCTGTCTTCATACAATTAAGAAGATTTAATTTTTCCAAGTCATGAACTCAATTTTAATTTTCTGTTTCCATGTAACTTTCATTATTCATTGCTAGTAAAAGTTTATGACCAGAGAGGGTATCATGTCACAAAACACTACAATCCTGACTTCCCACCAATCTGTCATAGTCATTTTAAAGATAGTCAAACACCAATTTTAGTGTCATACTAAAACATTTCTTTCCTTTATTACAAGATAAACAATATTATAGATAGCAAACATCATTGATAACATATTATAACTATTTTAGATGAGAACATGTGATAATTAAAAAAGCTAGAAAAAAAAAACTTAATATTTTACCTCAACATCATAAAATTAAACACAAATACATATCAAAAATATAATTTTATTTAATATTTAATATTTGAATTAAAATATAACTTACAAAATCATAGTATCCATCGTGATATAAGATATTCCTTGCCAACATGAGGGCAAGGAAGGTGGATAGAAACACTCCTATCATCCAAATCAAAAATATACATGTTTTTATCATCTTCTTCAATGAAGTATATGCAATTCTTTCTCACATTTACATCATTCTTATTAATGCAAAATATGCCTCCAACATATCCTAAGAAAATGGTACGCTCTCCTATAGTCTTTATCTCCATCCATTTTCTTGTGCATAAATCTGCTCTAAAGACTCGTATGTTTTCAATCTTACAATGCCTTTTTGCAAAGTAAATTTTGATAACTAATAATATTTCACCACAACTTTCTGTAATATAACCTTTAGTATATAGACCACCCCATTTTGGTCGTGATGATGACTCACGAAATAAATCACCGCTGATCACTTCTTGAAATTGCGCACTTTGACCCTTGAATTCAACGCGTACTAAAGTGGTTGAATATTTCATCAACCCATACAAATTTCCACCAAAACTTGTGAATGATTGTATTACCCTATCTGTACCTATTCTTTGCGTCACAAATGCCTTTTCACCGATCTTGCAAAAATTGATAGCCATATTATCATAGTGGGAGTCAACTTTAGTTAATATAACATAACAAGAAGGATCACGAGGACTAGATGAAAGGTAAGCGAAATGTGTGTTCGATTTCAAGTTTGGAAGTTGCACCCTTTCATGTGAATAGACATTGAAAAGTAAGACATCGAAACTGTCACAATCATGTAGCACCATCCATCCATCCTTACATGTGTCAGCCATCTCATACTTGTTATGCATGAAGGAATAATCAATCTTGTAATAACGTTGTTGTGTGATACTATATAGTTTACCTTCTTGTTTATATGGACAAAGGAAGAGCCAAGGGTGCGATTGCGGTGGGGGAAAACCGGGTTGCAGCATGGTTTTTGCATCATCATCACCAACCAACTCCATAGCTCTCAGTTGATGGCTAGTAGTTATAATTTTTAATACGTCCGGCCTGCATGAACTGAACAAAAGTATATTATAAATTGTAAGGAGCTAGTCTTTATAGGTTAATCAAACAACACAGTATATACATGATCATGGGCATTACAATGAAATTAAATATACTTGAGGCCTGTTGAATATTATTAGAAGCAATTTAATTAATTTGGATCTTACTTTTATAAGATAAAAATATGTAAGTCCATATATAGTTCTTTATAATAAGAGAAAATAGCATATACGATTGAAATTATGTGAAAGAATATTACCAGCAAGAAAATTCGATTTAAGAAATCCAAGTTTCTGGGCTGACTTTGTGCTTTGTGCTGCCAATGGCAGATAGCTCTACAACTTCTTTAATAGCCTTCAAGATGACTCCTTGACTAATGGGGATTAGGGTTTACTGGCTTAGGATTATAGTGTCCAATCTTATTTAGGAAATATAATGTCGAAATATATATATAAAAAAAAACTAAATATATAATAAGGAATGCCTCTTTATTTCTAATTTGATTATATTAGTGTTGGTATATATTAAAATAAGGAGAATTATAATCCCAATTGTTCAAGGAATCATCTTGAAAGCTATTTAAAGAAATTATTGGTAATATTCTAATCTCGGCCTATTCACAAATTATTGTATAGACCATAATAAAAGGTATATTTTTAATATACTAAATGTATATTATAAAATATAATGTACACTCATTACACAAATAATGTACATCCTCTTAATACAATGTAAATTATTTTTGTACTAAATGTACATTATTTTACAGTATATAAAATATGGTCCATACAGCTTGTGTGGACGAAGCAGTAGTGTTATGGACTTCCAAATTTTACATATACAGATTGAAAAGTATAATAATCTCCAATAACTAAACGGTTTAATTTCATCAATGCTAATAACACTACTGCTACTCATCTTGTTCTATATATTAAAAAATAAATAGACAGTCATTACCTGTATGTGAGTCTGCACAAACACTATTTCAATTCTAAGCTTTTCTTTTTGAGCAAACTTCACAATACTCTAAAACAAAAATCTCTCAACATAATGTATTTATATATGTATCTATATATAACTACTCAAAAATCTCTCAATATAATGTATCTATATATAACTAATGACAAGCTAAGATTGTTCCGCGCATGCATGATTAGGATTTTTTAAAATTTTCATTATTAATTAAGGATTAGAAAAGTCAAACTACTGTCCAAATACTAGGATTTAGAAACTCAAATAATTATATATAATTTGAAAATAGCACAATAAGAAAGTATTCAACATAAAACTATATAACATTGGAGCAAAAATATCATATCAATGGCCGAGATAGGGCATTCTCCAAGCTAGGCGAATGCGCCAAAAGGACAGAATTATTGCATGAGG